AGGAATTATTTTAATAGCCATGTAGAATAACACTCCCTCTTCTGTGGTTAGAATGTAGGCTATTTCCAGTTCTCAAATGTATTTAACTGCAACAACCAAAATGGCAGAGAGAACATCTAGAAACTAACACTGGATATGTAGCAGTGAGAACTAATTTCAGACAACTTAAAGGAAATTAAGCAGACAATACATATTCACGTCCACAGAACTTACATCAATACCATTCATTCTAAGACCTTTTGCAGGTGGGCTGGAATTCAGTCCTCATCACAACCTTAGGGGTCTGGAGATGTGGTTCAGTTAGAAAAGTCCTTGCTGTATAAGCATGAGGACAAGAGTTCAATCCCCCAAACCCATGTTTAAAAAAAAAAAAAAAAAAAAAAAAAGCCGCGTGTCACCAGGCAGTGCACACCTGTAATCCCAGCACTCAGGAGGCAGAGGGGGGCTTATCTCTGAGTTCAAGGCCAGCCTGGTCTATAGAGCAAGTTCCAGGACAGCCAGGGCTACACAAAGAAACTCTGTCTCAAAACAAAAGGGGGGGGGGGAGATAAAAGAAAAGAAGGAAGAGAAAGGAAGGGAAGAAAAAGGAAGGCAGGAGGCAGGGAAAGAGGGGGGAAGGAAGGAAAAAAGAAGAAAGGAAGGGAGGAAGGAAAAAGGGAAGGAAGGGAGGGAGGAAGGAAAAAGGGAAGGAAGGGAGGGAGGAAGGAAAAAGGGAAGGAAGGAAGAAAAGATAAAGCAAAAGCCAGGTGTGGTGGTGCAGTTTGTAATCCCAGCACTGGGAGGCTGTGACAGGCAGGTTTCTTGATGCTCAGCGGCCAGCCAGACTAGCCTAATAAGAGACTTGCAGGACAATGAGAGACCATGTCTCAAAAGACAAGGCTGATGGTCCCTAAGGAATGACAATTTAGGGTTGACCTCTGGCCTCCACATGCTCGGGCACATACACTCAAGGAGAGAGGAAGAGGGGAGAGACTGGAAGAGTGGGGATGGGGATGAGGGAGAGACCTGGAGAGGGAGAGATTTGAGCGCAAGTTCAGCTTGCACCTGGAGAAAGGAGGAAACCTCTCCTGTGGTCCTCACCTTCTGCTTGTTTGAGACATAGTTTTTCTCCTGTGCTGCTGGGGCATCTTCCCTGGTCCCATGGGAACGTTGGGATAACAGATTCCAGGCGATTGCATCCTGCTTTGCGCAACTTTGTAGCGTTGGTAAGCGCTTTACTACTGAGCCATCTCCTCTTAATGGTTCTACGTTCAATAAGGCTGAGGATCAAGCCAAGCCATGAACAGAGGCCTTTGGGGAACGTTCCATAGCTTACTAGAGCAGAGTTTACTCTGGAACAGTAGACTGCACCTCTCAATGAGGGAGCCTGGACCAATATGCACCTCGGGGTACTCTATAATGCACCTTTACCCAGCGGTGTCTGTTTTGTATTCTGATCACACAAGACCTCGTTCTCAAATATCCGGTGCGAATTCTGTTACACAGTGGGAAAAGGATGCCCATTTAGCCTACCTATTCATCCTATAACCCTCGTCCCACCGACTTATCATTAAGTGATCTTTATGCATGTCATACCCAGAACCAAGGACCAGTGTAAATACTGATTGGAGCAGACGTCCATATCCCATTTTCCCATTTCTGGTTCCAAATCTAAGTGGCAAATTCAAATGGAGCTTGGTCCAGAGAGAGGCCCCGCCTCACCTCGGGCGTGGGAATTTCGGATAAGCACTTACGCGTGCTTCTTTGAAATGCAGCCCAGTGGCTGGAGGTGAGGTCCCTGCGGATCACCCGTCCCGCTGGGCTGCCTGGTGTCGCCGCACCACAGCTCTACACAGGCGTGAACCAGGGTCTGTCCAGTCTCCCTCCCTCTCCTGCGGGGGGCGATCCGTCTGCGCGCCTCCCCGGGCACTCATGCC